TGGGATTGTGCGGCGTAGTGCTAAAATACGTTAATAAATCGGTTAACGTTTATCTAGATGTTCTTAGTGCCCTCTATTCGTATGTCTCGGGTTTCGGTATATTTTGAAGAGGGTTTAAACTAGCCAATTTCCTTGGCGTTGAACGTGACCCTCTGCGGGTAGAAGTCCGTTGCTGGACCATAGTCCTTATCGTCTTCATCATCCGGGTTAATGCCTTTCTATTCGGGGTCATTCTAGTTACCTAGCGGCGGAGGAGGTCCGGGAAAGTTGTTATCCGTATAACCGAGGTAAGAGCTTTCGTATATTAAACCCGATTATATAGCATAAGGTTTATTATCCAAGAAAGAGTTCTCCTAATTGGAGCAAATAGGATACCGAGACCCGGGATGGTGTAGCGTACTACGGGAAATATACTACCGTCCGCAGTACCCACGATCGCACGGTATATAGTTTTAACATAACGTTTACCAGCATAGATAAGAGGTTTTATCTAGCGGGGTATTATTAAAGCCGGGGTAAGCTAATTAGCTATTACCTAAATAGTCGAAGTTTTTAGACTTTACGGGGAAACCTTTACTTCTATCTATAGCAAGGTATTATTCGTCAAAAGGCTTTATTACGAAGGAGACTTTTTACTCTAGTTACTTTCCTTTAGACACTAATTATTCCTTGAAAGCGGGAAGAGGCTCTGGATCCGGTAATAGCGGGGAAGAGGGAAGTTTTATCTCCTCTAATAATGGCCTTAAGTCCGGGGGAATCTAGTACGATAGGATTTCTTCCGCTATATTTATCGATTCTATAAAGATAAGCTATTTTAGCGGTAGCTGATTTTATAAATGAGGAACAATACGATCTCGGTAAACCGGTTCCCTATTTAGCTACATAGTGAATACTGCCCGGAATCGTCCCTATTATTACTAGGAAGACGGGTATGCGGATCTATCGATTTACCAGCCGGGGTTTTACGTGATTAGTACGGCTCTTGCAATTTATAAGATTAGAGTAACCCGGTAATTCGGCTTATTAATAGACTTAAGGCGGTCGTAATTCGACATATAAGCTGCAATTAGCTAGGCGGCTCGATCCTGGTTCTCTAGGATTGGAATGTCCCTGAATTCCTAAAGTAAGTTAACGTCGTTATCGGCGTTTATTCATCATGATTTTATTATAAATAGGGTCGACGCTTACTTAGCTTGCCTATTCCTATAATAGGATCAACGCTTGTTTAGCTAGCCTATTAGTATAAAAGGAGTTAACGCTTATTTAGCTCGTTTCTTCCATAAGTAAGCAACTGCTCATTTTATTAGAAAAGAGGTTGTATTACTAATTGTTACGCTTTATATGCGGTGAAATAGTAATAATATTGAGATGTCCCTTTTAAGATTTCATTATACCTCCGCAGTAAAATCTCTAAGAAATACCTTAAGATTTCATAAGGAAATCCCGGGGAAATCTCCATGATATCTAGTAGCCTTTTGCTAAGAATTCCTGGTGAATTCTCGCGGGTTTTACCGTAAGGTCTTTCACTATAGTGGCGGAGAAATCACGGTGAAATCTCCCTAACATTTACAAGAAATCGTAACAATACCCCTATTATCGATCGACGAGCTTAGAGTACTTTCTATTAGATATTCTATTCTTTATATTATTAAATATAATACCCAATTTATCCATATCGTTTAGGTATAAGAAGAATAGTATATTGACGGGTAAAATATAGAAAATCATCGTTCCAAATCATATATTTACATCCATAATACCTAAGGTACTTATCTCTTCCTTTAGGCCGAAACTAATCCTCGTAATACCCGTATTTATAATATTAAGGGTCACTAGTAAGATCTTTTGGAGTATGTAGAATTATCCCTTACCCCCCGTCGACCATTATAATACCCCGGTATCTAGAATAATCCTATAGAAGGTTTCCGAGCTATACCTTTCGCTAATATAGAATACTTATACTAGATTACTATAAAACCCTCCTAATAAGTATAAATTACGTACTTATAAGTCCATCGTTCTCTTTTTCTCCTTAGGCCTTTTAACCTTAGTATAAGCTATAGCTATAATATTAATATTCGTGTCCCCCGTATTATTAAACGTTATTGTTAATTAAAAGACCTTCCCTTACCAACTATAAAGGAAAGCCTACTTATTTAGGGCTTATACCGCTCTTTATTTATTTAGTATCATATATCCTCTTAAGGTTAATAAGGTAAAGAAAGAATAGGTAACATTGTTAACTTTATTAAAGTCGAGGTCTTAAATATATAAAGTAAGATCTTCCTTGCTCTTAAATAACTTAATTACGTTTATTAGATAGTCCTTATAGACTATTAAGAATTAGTTAAATTAATTACAGCCCGTCTTGCCTTATATACCCTTTATTTTTTTATATTAATCGTACGACTTAGTACGTTCTTTATTAGAGTAGTTATTTAACTAATAACCCTCTTTTTTATATATAAAGCACTTTCCTTTCTGTAGTACTTGGTTAGTGTTAGACTAGCGCCCCCCTAAGGAGTCTGTTCTTCCCCTCTAGCGGTTACTATACCTTATCTCTCTTTCTTTATTATTATATGTGCGGTCTACCTAGTATTATTAATAAGGGCCTTTATAAAATTAGAGGTAAGTCTAATTTAGCATCCTAGCTTCGATATTAAAGCTAGACCTTAATCTCGAGTATAGTATTTCGTAATCCTTAGGCGGTTAATATAAAATCATCTTTATCTCTAATACCCTCTATATTACTATATATAAATAACCGACCTTTTGCTTATTAGTCCCCTCATTTAGCTACGTCCTTACCAGTTTATTAATCTTATTGATAAGCTCCTTAAAGATCTTAATTTTCGATTTTCCTTCTATTATTCTAGCTATAAAGCTAAATAATAATGCCCTCAGCTCCGAGAGGAGCTTAAGGCTCCTATCTTAGGTCTCGAATTAACTTCAGATTATATCAACGATACTAAGAAAGTCAGTTCGATCAATATTACGCACCGTTTAATAATAGTACTTAGTAGCTTTCCTTATTAATATAATATTAATTACTAAATAATATTAGTATTCTCGGATACCGACTTTTTCGTAGTAATTGTAGAATATTATAAAGGTTTCTTATAGGACCTTATATCTCCCCCCTAAGTATAATTTCTTTTTTAAAAAGATCTTCTTTAGGTTAATAAACTATCTTATATTAGTTACCGCTAGATCGTTCTCTTTATGTGCTTCTTATACGGCAGTATAATTAAGTAATATCTATATTATCGACCTTATACTTTATTAGGTACTTAGGATTAATCTTTAGATTAATATTATTATTAAGGTCGTTACCGTAATAGGCAGAATCGTTATCTAATGCGCCTCCGGTATAATCCCCCTTATTTATACTAGATTAAGTACCGTAATATTACCGTTAATAATCTTTAGTAAAAAGTCTAGTTAGTTCATTTGTTTACTGAATTCTTTATATTTTAATACTATTTTATCGATCTAATTCTAGTCCTATGGCGTGAAGTCCTTTATAGCTACTATCGCTACGAGTATTTTATAGGCCTTTTGCTTTACCCCTTAGGCTAGCAGAACGCCTTAGTAATAAAGGAATCTATTCACCTCTTTAACGATACCGGGATTAATATTAGTAAACTATTCATCTTTCTAGTTGCCTAGGTTATCTATAACTCTGTAGAATAAAGGTTACTTTTTGAGCCCTTTATGGGTATATATTTCCATAATAAAGACTAACGCCGCATTAATTTACTTGCTATTAAGGTGGTCTAAATCTCGATATAACTATTTCCCCTAATATTCTAGATTAATCTCAACCTAATCTTCTAGGATAGGAGTCCTTTTATACGTTCTGTATACTGACTCGCCCCCTATTATCCTTTAGCTTATGCTTCTATTTATAGGGGCCGGTATATTTAATCTTAATAGGGATATATTAGATCTACTTATTAATTATGGTAATAGCGTACTATTGTTGCTTACTATGTTTATTGGGGTCTAGGAGCTTCCTACGGCCTCTAACCTCCTTATAGTAAGCCTCGTTATTATCTACTTTTAGTCTTTTAAATTAGCTATTATATTTTTTATTAACGGTTTTCTTTTCTTATAACGTACCTTATTATATAAGAGAGGTCTTCCGGTGGCCCTCTTTTTATATTCTTTCCTTAGACGTCTTCTTAACTTTCTCCTGTGCTAATTAAGGTAATAGGCTCTTTCTTTATCTTTATAGCTCGGTAAGGATATATAATTTAAAGAATTAAGTACTTTATACCCTTTTACGGGGTAAGCGTTATGATATTTCTAAATCCCTTCTTTCCTTATCTTAACTCCGCCTAGCTTTTATTCCTTTAAAATAGCTAAAGGGTAGTAGGTATAAGTAAGAAAAGGAAGCTTAACTTTAGAATCTTAAAGTCGGTTTTAATAATAGTAATATTACTGTCGATCCCGGTAACCTCCTTAGATTCGACTAAGAAATATGCCTAGAGTTACTAGCGGGGTCTAGTTCCTACCTAAATACCTTATTACTTTAAAAGTTTATTTCTATAGTTCTAAGGTGCCTTTTTATATCCTCCAATTAGGCCTATTTCGTCGTATAGTTAAGATCTATAGTAGATTTACTAATCTAGCGAATCTAGTAATTTTGCTTATTTTCCTTTATTAGTATACGGGCCGCCCATGGATTATTAAATAGGATAAATCGCATAAGGGCGACGTAGGTAGCTTAGTCGCCTTTTCGTAATTCCTTTAATTATAGTTTATTTTTAATGTGATAGACGTCGACTTTTCGTAGGTAATTAAGGGCTATGATTCCTCTATTTCGTTCCGTTATAAAGATTTATGTTTTATCGCCTGCTTTCCGTCGGGTAAGTAGTATGATTCTCTTATCGTATTCCGTTTAAGGAGGTCGTCTCTTCTATTTACAAGATATCTTGCTGATCTATAATAGTAGGATTTAACTATTAATCAATATTAATATTCCTATTACAGGGATGGTTCGAACTATAGGTGACGAAAAGGTCAAAATCTATATATATTTAACTTCTATATAAGGTATAAAAAGGAGGTTCTAACTGGAGGTTAGGTAGACCGTAGATCTTGTAAGTATGGTCTGTAAGTGGCCCTTGCGCGGGCCCCTTGCCTCGAGGTCGAATTGGACTTCCAATCCGATAGATACGCAACTCAGAGGACCGCTCGCCCATTGCGCAAGGTATTCCTCGAACTTGGGGTGCAAAGCCTGGATGAAGGGTCCCATGAGGGGGATCTTGAACGTAGGTCCGGCAATCGAGCCTTTTCTTTTGAGATACATCACTAGCAATATGTTAGTCTCGTATGTATTGCCATAGAGGAGCTTTAAGTTCGTCCGTACCCTGATCGTACACCACCACGCCGAGAAGAAAAGTGACGATGTATTGCCATGTTGACCAGCCCGAAAAGAAAGCCGGCAGCGTGCCAGACGGGAGAACTGTCTCGTTAGACCATTTTTGCCTTACTTCAGGTTGTAAAATATGCGTGTCGATAGTTGCTGAAGCCATCTTAAAGCATGTAGCGGCATTGCTGGGCCGTCTTTCCCGTCAGGAGAACAGCAAAGGGGCATCTTAGTATCTCTTTAAAGGAAGCCGGCAGGCCCATCAAAACGTCAAAGGGGTCTTCGTCTTGCGTATTCGTATACTGTCGACACCACCAAAAACAGTCTCATTACAACCCGGCCCCGTCTGGTTGGACCACAGGCAGAACATCGTTCGTTTCTCTTCCCAAACCGCGGGAGAAGCCAGCCCTGTGAAGTCTTGGCATCTCAATGACTTGCGGAGACTAAACCTCTTTCGGTAATCAACTCGACGTTTGTCAGCAAACAAAACTGGAGTTTGACAAGGGGGGGAACTGAGCAGCGAGATCCCTCACGATTGAAACTGCGGCGACTAAACCCCTTTCGGTCAGGGCACCGCAAGAAGCCAACTCACAAGCGGGAGCCAGCTCTCAGTCTCTCGCGGATACGCGGGCGAAGCTCTCAGACCATTGTCTCCACCATTGGATCATTTTCATCTTCCCTCCTTTCGTTGCTTCTCATCACTGGGGGACCATCGACTCACTCCAGTCCAATTCCTCCATGTCCAGTCGATCTCGCACAACATGCGCCAAACCCTCCGCCGGTCCTGTGCTGCGTGTGCAAAGTCTAAACACAGTTGCGACCTCCGCACGCCGCGGTGCTCCCGCTGCATCAAGCGCAAGGTTCTGTGCGCCTACGCCAACGAACCCCTGACGGCTGCGCCGGCAGCCTCCGGGTCCGTACCGGGGGGTAGCGCAACATCGCCGCCGGGACCTCCGCTGGACGGATCCGGTGCTTTGACCAACTACAGATTCGGCTCTCTTGATCCTTTTGACTCTTATCCTCAGACCAGACTTCCACGGGAGCAAGTGCAGCGTCTTATTCACAGTTGTAAGCACATCACGACTTAAGCCGATTGGTCAACGTTTCGCTCACCAACCCACGTAGTTCTCCACAAGATCGCGTTCGAATACTACCCTCTAGACTTGAACGCGACGTCAAATCCATTCCTCGTCTCCTGGTGGCCATTAGCCCTGGGCGATCCGGCATTATTTCACGTCTCTTTACAAACAGCATGTCTCGACGAAGAGTTGTTGGCTCAAAAAGGATTCCAGTCATCAGAGATCCTGATGGCGGATTCAGTTGCTCTACTTCGCCGGAAGGTTCAAGACGACTCAATGGCAATCCAAGATGGAACCATGAATTCCGTCATCACTTTAGCAGCTATCGAGGTGAGCCTCAGCCTGTGGTCTCAGCCCGAAGTGTCAGGATGACTCGAAGCCCTTGTCTGTTCACTAATTCTTTCCACGCATCAGTTTGGTAAAGGCAACATCCAAGTGAGCGAAATGCACGTTGATGGAGTGAAACGACTTGTCAATATGCGGGGAGGGATCAATGCAGTAAGGCAAACTAGTCCTCTTACCGCGAGAATGGTTAGCTGGTACGTTCGAAGTGTTGCTTCAGCCGAAAATTCTGTGTTGACGTCGGAAAGGGTGTCGATGATCGTCACCGGATTGCCACAATTCGAAACGCAAAGCGATGCGGGCGTTGGCGACGGAGTGCCTATGCCTCCGGAGTGGCAGATAGACCCAACTGTGTCGGACAGTAATCTGTCCCATCTTGGCGATATCGAGATCGAAAACGAGGTCGAAAACGTGTTATTACGGCTTCGAAGTATTTTCCGACGCGCGCAGCAAGTACCGCTACGACTGACAAAACTACACGATCTTTCATGTTTCGTCATACACCGACTTTTGCTACCAGTGCCAGAACCAGCAGAGCCTCGCTCAGCAACTAGTGAAAGCATCCGTCTAGCGACTGTACTCTACATATTTATCATTCAAGGTCCGACATATTACTCGCACGCTGTGATATTCAGCACGATCGTCAATCAGCTTATGAAAAGTCTGAAAAAACTAGCCCCATACGCCCAGTCCTACAACACTGTCTTCATTTGGCTTCTAAACATAGGCATCGTTGCCTCACAGGGGACACAGCACTACACCTGGTTGACTGGCTTGGCAAGAGACGTTGTGGCATTGACCCAAGTGAACAGTTGGGTTAGTGTGCTTGCCCATCTCAAAAGTGTTCTCTGGCTGGACATAGTCCACGGCGAAGACATTTTCCGACCACATTGGGACACAATTCTAGGAATCTCAAGTTGAAAAAAGGTCGATACTCATGTTCTGAGTCTCAACAAAGTGCAAATATACCGATTGATTGATCAAGCTGACCATTCGCAGCTTGCGAGCAGGTGTGTGGGCCGTATACAAGAATGGAGAGTTTGTCGGTCACGAGGAGGTGGAAGAAGGTGGTTCAATGGATGTCGAGTCTTCCGTATCTGGCGAGCATTTGGATATGGTGTTTATGCAAGTTCGATCCTTGGGAGCAAGGATCTAGCGGAGCTTCCATCTTGGAAGGTTAGAGTGGATTAGAGGTTCAAGTTTCTGGGCATTGAAAAGGCTGACAGGAAGCAAACTAGCGACTCAATATTTGTTATTGATTTTAGCTTGGATTCTTAGGGTACTATGAAAATTTTCTTCGATTGATCCAAGGTGAACTGCGAAGAGCTTGTTCTCAAATATTGTTGCCTTCGATAACTTGCTGTATCAAGTTCTGCCGTCCCATACCGCTTTTACACTAGAGATCTTCCAAGTTTTGTGCTGATGTTTTCCACTCCTCGGCAACACAATTTCAACAAGAAACCCCAATTTCCCTAGAACATGATCACATTACCAAACTCATACAATAACATCAATGACTACGCGGGGGATCTGGTAGAATTCATCGAAACACCCTTGGTCCGCCAGATCACCGGTGATATCCACGTCAACGATTCACTCATCTACAATGCGTGGGAAGCTCTACCCACCGACTGGATATCCTGGTGGGCGTCAATACCAGACCATCGAATAGCTCAGCAAGACTTGATCGACAGCATCGAAGAGCTGGATCCCTATTCAACATCAGATGACGAAGAAGATGAAGACAACCGATATTTACCCTTACCAGACCGGCCAGAGTCGCTGTCTAAGTGGCTAAAGAGTGTCCAGTCGCTCGCACTTCCACGAGATCAACGCTCTGGCGACTCCACAGCCCTGCCAGAGATCCTGACAAATCGCATGAAAACCAAGAAGATTGTAGAAGTCTCCATCGCTGTCAAATACATCCACAGCGTCTGCCAGACCAACAGCATAACCCACATCATCGACATGGGCTCCGGCCAAGGGTATCTCTCCGTAGCGCTAGCCTATCTTTTCCCAGAGCTCCATGTGTTAGCAATCGACGGCAGCGAGTCCCAACTTGCGGCCTCAAAAGCCTGCGCAGACAGTCTGGGAATCCCCGTGAGCAGGATCCAGCACATGCGGCGCTACATTGACGGTACACCACCGCTTGCTGATGAGATTGCCGCCTGGGCCGGAGAGGAGAAGTGCATGCTCGTTGGCTTACACGCGTGTGGGAACCTCTCGGAGCATATGCTGAGATACTTCGCCACGGTGCCGTTCGTCGTATGTCTTGGCGCCGTTGGATGCTGCTACAACCACATTGTCCCGCGCTCTGCCGCTTGTCCTGATGGATTTCCAATCAGTGCAAAGATGCGAGAAAGAAATGTCACGTTGAGTGCCACGGCGCTCATGACGGGTTGCCAGGCGCCGAATAACTGGGAAAGGGCGGATCCGAGCAAAGAAGAGTCGGTGTACTCGAAACGGCGCTTCTACCGAGCCCTCTTGGAGAAGGTCTTCCATGATAAAGGGATAGAGCTCGACAAGGAGGATAGGCCTGTGTGGGGTGTACGAAAGGGAGACATGGCCAGCTTTCCCACGTTCGCACGCAGAGCGATTGCATGTCTCGGCGTGGAAGAGAGCAAGATCAGCGATGCTGACCTCGTTGTTTATGAGGAGAGGTATCGAGGTTATGAGGGCAAAGTGGCGATTCTGTGGACGCTCAGTGTGCTTTGCTGTAAGGTGGTTGAAAGTGTGGTTGCCCTTGACCGGTACTTATTCCTGGCGGAGAACGGAGGGCAGAATGTTAACGTTGTGCCGATATTCGACTACAAGATATCACCGCGGAACCTGATGCTCGTGGCTGACAAGGGATAAATTGGTACACCAAGTTGAATAGACAACTCACCGGTAGGTAGCCGTTTCACTTACCTCAACTGCATGCGGATAATATGCCTAATGCTCAAAGAATCGGTCTCATGAATATAACATATTAAAGCAAACTATCTACACAGAATCCAATACACAAACCCGAGACACAATCTCGAAAGACTCCCACTCATCATCCCTTAGAACAGAGCAAGAGCAGCAAGACCACACACAGCCGCAACGGCGACACCGAAAGACGTACGTCCAGCAGACGCAACCTGGACCACAGGAGGCGAAGGCTTCGCGGTGGCAGTGGGCACTGCACCCGTAGCAGAAGCAGAGCAAGCAGTGGGGGTAATAAGCGAGCCGTCAGGTCCGAAGGGGCTGTAGCCAAGGCAGCCAGCGTACTCAGCAGCGCAGGTCGAGCGGTTGGCACCAGGAGCGCTGCGGCACTTGTTGTACGAGTCGTTGCAGCCCGCGACGCAAGTGTCACCAGTAGGGGTCGCGGGGGGAACGATACCAGTCGCGATGGGGGGGACGGCGCTGACGGGGGGAACGATGCCAGTCGCGATGGGGGGGACGGCGCTGATGGGGGGAACGATGCCAGTCGCGATAGGGGGGACGGCGCTGATGGGGGGAATGATGCCAGTCGCGATAGGGGGGACGGCGCTGATGGGGGGGACGATGCCAGTCGCGATGGGGGGGACGGCGGTAGCGGTGCCGGAGCAGGCGGTGGGGGTGACGAGGGAGCCATCGGGCCCGAAGGGGCTGTAGCCGAGGCAGCCGGCGTACTCGGCGGCGCAAGAGGCGCGGTTGGCGTCGGGAGCGCTGCGGCACTTGTTGTAGTCGTCGGCGCAGGCGGTCGGGCAGTCGGGGCCCGGGGCGACGCCGGTAGGAACGGGGCCGACGTGGGTGATGGTGCAGGGGCAGTCGGTGATGGTGAAGGTCATGGGCTCCTTAATGGTGTAGGTGTACTTGCCGTGGTAGATGACGGTAGGTTCGGGGCAGTAGGTGGTGATGGCGGTGACGACCTCAGTGTAGGTGCCGTTGCTGAGGAGGGCGGCGACGGGCATGGGCGCATCAGCGACGGGGGAGGCGGATGTGAGCTGGGTGGCGCCGAGGATGAGGCCGGCCAGGAGGGGAGCAACGTGAGAAGACATGTTGAGTTTGGTGGTGAAAACCGTGTGTAAAAGAGTGTGGTAGACTGATGTCAGTGTTGTAAATGAGTGTGAGGGTTGAGTTGAGAAGAAGTTGAGTTTGCAAGGGAACTTTGGTAACCATTTATAGGACCTTGAGTTGAAGCCAAGACGGTTTGATTAAACGTAAACATTTCAGCTAGCGTTGATGGCCAGGAGGTAGTTTGCTGGTAAAACCCGGATCACATCCGGTCTGGATGACAGTTACATTCCAGCATTGTTGTGTTTGTCGTACCTCGTTCTCGTGCAAGAATTCAGTTAGTCGCGTCTCGTATTCTTACTCGAGAACTTGGCTCCTAGTCTCTCATATTTTTGCTAGCGCTTCAACCGTCAGACTCGCCGAACAGCTAACGCTGCTATGCTTTCTTTTACCTACTTCCACCTACTCACCTACTTAATCTTGAAACGCCAAAGTCTTAGGTTTTTCCTGGGGAAGAGGCAAGAATAGGGGCGAGTCTCGGCGACACGGTCGTGGAATGTACGCCATCTCGGCTACGGCCATCGAATCAACAACGTCAATCGTGCGTCAATCGGACTTTGGTCTCACCCCAGAATTCATCTCGGGCCGGAATGTTCTATCCATACTAACGAGTCACTGTCATGTTCCTGAACACTTTTCTACTTGGCATGCCCCCGTTTGAATGTCACAGATCGTGGAAGGGAGTCAAGGCAGGGCGCCTGATACGAGGTTCTCACTGTCGTCTCTTTGCTTGGTGGTAGCGGGCCGAATGATTCGGAATGGACTCCGACAGTAAATAAGCTTTTAAGAAAAGTTAATACTACTCCATTAGCAAAAGCAGTTGGATGACCAGGGGACTTACCGCCGAAAGAATAAGACGAGATGTGTCACCACAATCATCAACCGAATCATACTTTACCTAATGACAATCGTCGTCGGAAATTGAATGGAATTGAGTATTCCTCTCTAAAACACGAGCACATTAACGACAAGGACGAACGCGGACGAGATGATACCCATACCACCATGATAACGGGGCACGCGATACCAACAATACTTGTATTGAATTGCCATCTCGTTCAATTTAGATTGGTCCAATCATGGATAGCTGAGCGACTGGCCCAGCTTCAATCCCACTGCTGACCCGGGGTGCTGAGAAATCTACGAAGGAATTCATCGTCTATCACCCTGAAGCCATCTCGTCAAGTTCTCATGAATTTCTGAGACAGTGAGATTGTAATGTGTGAGAATGGTCCATCCTATGTACACCATCATTCTCTCCACTGTACGTCCCCAATTGGCTCCTCGCAGAAACTGCGGAGAAGTCGCCTCAAGAAACCAAGCTTTAGTCAGGCCAGCAAGCCGGCGGCGACCAGCTCACTCACCTCCTCTCCCTCACATGCACCTTCATCTTCATATCGTGCCTCGGCCTAGCCTCCATACCAACCATCTGGAAAGCCAAATCGCCCACCTTGTGATCGATATCCATATAGTCAACCCTCTGCGTAGTCCCATTCACAATCGTCTCGAAATCGAACCACCGTACCGTAAGCAACAACATGATGCGCAGCTCATCCATGGCCAAATCCTGCGCAATGCAAGCCCTAGGCCCGCGCTCAAACGGCCGCCACGCGAAGCGGTGCATGTCTTTGGCATCCTCGCCTAGGAACCGATCGGGCCGGAAGCTCTTGCTGTCTTCGCCCCAGACCTTGGGGTCCATGTGCGTCGAGTGCGCGCAGGGGATGACCATGAGGTTCTTGACGGGCCAGCGGCGGCCGTTCCACTCGAGGTGGGTTGTTCCGGGCGGAGCCTGGCGGATGGTGAAGCCGATGGGGAAGAAGCGGAGCGTCTCCTTGATGACAGCGTTGGTGAAGTCCATGTCGTTTGTCTTTTGCGGGTTCGCGGTGAGCATCTCGACGGTGGTGTCAAGGTCCGGGGAGAAGTGCTCGTCGTGCTCGGCGCGGAGGCGGGCGACGACGTCGGGGTAGAGGGAGAGGAACATTGTGACCCAGGTGAAGGTGTCAGTGGTGGTGCCGTGGCCTCCGAGGAGGAGAGCCTTGAGGCTGGGTTGGTTGTTAGCGAGGCACAGTTGCGAAGCATAGAGTAGACTTACTTAGTGACGGCGGTGTCGATGAACTCGTCGTCGAGACCCAAGCCCGGTCCGCTCTGGATTCTGTCGAGGACGATGCGGTCCAGGACACTCTTGACCTGTCGCCGGGAAGGCAATTCCTTCTCGTCCTGCAGGATGCGCAACCTTTCCTTCATCTCCCCAGCCAGGGTATCTCTAACGCGATCCTTGAGTGCCTGTAGCTTCTGCTGTGCCTTGCGCTTCTTCCACGGGTTGCGGGTGCCGATGAAGGTGGTGGCGGGGTTAATAGAGTTGCGCAAATCTTCAAGCAGCGGCGAGCCAGACCTCTGCGCCTCGAGAGAGACACCAAACACAATCTTACCGACGACATCAAAAATCGTCTTGGCAGACTCCTCCTCCATGTTGAACGACTCGCCCTTGGCGGCAAAAGCGCGCAGGCGCTCGTGGAAGATGAGAACCTGCTCGGCAATCATGCCGGCCATGGGCTTGACATAGGTGGGCGTGAAGCCGGAGCCGACCATGCGGTGGTTGTACTTCCAGCGGTCACCGTTGGAGGCGGCGATGCTGTCTTTGCCGGTGAAGGGGCGGAGGAACTGCTCGATGGTGGGGTGCTTGGGGTACGGGTTCGTGGTGAGGACGAGCTGGGCGGCGTCCGGGTCGGTGATGATGACCTGGGACTCGACAAAGGGCCACATGTCGACGTAGAAGATTCCGCCGAGGTTGTATTTTTGCGCCATGATGGTGTAGATGTGCTGGGGGTGGGTGAAGAGCGGCAGGGTGGCTGCCAGCTCTTCCCAGATGATGGTGTGTGCCCAGATCCATGAGTGTTTTGGCGGTTGAGGCTAAATTCCGAGGAAAGAAACACCAAAAGAGTCAGCATTGCGATGCTTCTGCGATGTTTGCTTTGCGCACGTCTTTATAGCCGCGGGCGCGAGCCATTGACAAGTGAGATGAAGTTGGAGCGAAGCTCTTACCAATCCTCTGAATCTGGTTCTCATGTACACAGCCTTGAACGCCCAGTACACGGCCGTGGCGAGAGCCACGCTGGCCGCGATCAGCCAGTTGGAAACGCCAAACATCGTGAGCCTCAAAACTTGGGGGGTATCGCCAAGCTATTTCCCGGGAAGATGACGAAAGGGAGGGGGAAAGAAACAAAAGGCGGAAGAGTCTTGCTGCCCACACTCAGAACAAGAAGAGAGAGAAAAGCTACACGGCGGAAGAAGATGGCGGGGTATTAGGGTCAAATTTCATCTACGACCTACCAATCCTGGGCTCTACGTAATGTCACATTCGGGGCCAAATACCCAGAGTAAAAATCCCTCTCGCGCTCTCACTTTTTTTTTTCTTCAGCAAGGGGGGGTCTGTCAGTTTGGTCCTTTCGATGTGATCGTCCTCCCGCCAGTACGTCTTACTGGGGGGGAGGGGGTGTGCAATGCGTGAGAAGGTCGCATCCTTTTTCTGAACGGTGGGGTCGAGAGGATCAGATTAGATGATCTGATAAGATGATTGAAAGAGATCAGTGTTCCCGGATTGGATGAAGTCAGAACGGTCGACATGGGTGGGAAGGGGAGGGCGTGAGATGAGTAAAAGGCCACGCAGGAACTTGAGGAAGTTCCCGGAATTGGTTCCATGTCGCGATGGACGAGGGGGCGTGGATGGTGGTCAGAAACGCCGTCGGCCCCATTTCCAATGGCTTCAGTTTCTTTAGCGCGTGTTTGCAGGCTTTTTTTCAGAGGGCTTGACCAGTCAACGTGCGGAGGATTCAGTTTTGTTTTGTCAACGGTCCGGTCCGCTCATCGGCACTCAAGAATTCATGACGCCGCGGCATTGCTTCGCCTCTTGTTCCAGCCACCGGGAACTGCTGGTTGAGGGCGATGAAAAGACACGAGTGCCCCGGAAGAGGTTTCTTCGTTTCCCTTGGTCGTTGCTGGACTTTTGCATCTCCGTGGCCGTTTGGTACTGCTGGATGGTACGTTGTATCCATTATGTTTTTGCGTGCAGAGGGCTAGGCGGAATGTGGGTGGGAGTCCGCCGATGCGTGGCCGATGACCGAGAAAGTTTCAAGGATTCAGAAAAGGTTTGCGAATATGATCCTGCGTGCCTAGCCATCGTCGACCGCAATGAAGGGGAGACAAAGTTGGGTAAGCTCTTTGGCTACCTCACACAGGGAGCTGGCGATACATGATCATACTCTCAAGAGCGCCAAATCTGCAAAATGCCTGGGCATGAGGTCAGATGCCACACTCAACAACAATGGGGGAATCTGAGAACCTCATTCTCGGAGATAATCCACCACACAATCCACACCCCGCCGGTGGGAGAGGTCCACAGGGTCTTGGCTGGGCTGCCGAATTGCGTCTTCTTCATTGAGACGGGGAGACAGCGGGGAGTCTCGGTCAGTACGAGCTCCAAAGCCCGCAATGGATGCTGTACTTAGCCGTACAGCCTACTACGCATAGCAGTGCGAAGTTTTCCTCGGCTGTAGTCCAACAGCGGCATCTTGTGTTACGGTTCTGGCTGCGTGCAGCATGAACTTAAGGCGGTCCACAGAGGAGCAAAATCGAACCCTCGGCCGCCGGCGTGTTAGGAGGGAGAGGCAGAGGTGGGGGTGAAAAAGAAGAGAAAAAATACCACTCCGGACGAATCCCTGCTCCTTCAGCAGATGCTAAGCTTTCTCGGACAGCGGCACGGCGGCTACGATCCTGACAGCACCAACAGAGTTGAGCATCTTCAATGTTGGAACAGGCCGACTCTTGAAGGTAGGTTATGTACTCAAAGTACCTTCAACCTACGACTCAACGTCAGCTTGTCTACTGTGATACCCGACGTACATCGGGGTGCTTAGGTAATCTCAACGCACGCCACGTAAAATAAAAATGCGCCGAATCCATCCAACAACCGTCAGCAGGGTAGGGAATATGCCCTGCCAAAAGAATATCATGTAATGAAGCAAAAGTTCCGAAACCGAGAATCGAACTCGGGGCTATGCCTAACCTCTCACAGAGATGAGAGGGCATCATGTTGGCCACTACACCATATCGGATGTTGATGTCTGTTCTCTCAAGATTAGTGCATCAGTATCTTGCATAGTGAGAGTGGGGCAGTGATGCTGGGCTGAGCCTAGGTCTCTAGGATGGTGCCAGTAAGAGCCTGTCACAGCGGTTAGCCGTGCCGTTTCCGTTTGCATCGGTCGCACTGAACATTGAAAGCTGAATACGAATATCAAGTTGAGTCTCTGTAGGACGAATCGAGAAAGAAGAGAGTGGATGGCGCATCCTGGATTCAAGACTTTGGCCCAGATGAGATGCACCACTTCCAAAACGAAGCTCTCCAGGTTGTTCCACGCATAAGGGAACCGGCATAACTGCGGACGGAATCGGCTCCGGAATCCTTGCCCAGACGGTAACCGGAGCGCGTGAAGTACCGTCGCATATCCTCGCTGATCCGATGTGATAGGGCCAAGGTAGTATTCGATGCAGCCAAGAGGCGCATGGCTTTCTTTGTCTGGTCCCGCACCGCATCTGTTCAGGTCGGGCGCGTGGCAAGCCGTCCGTCTTCTCGATCATCGGCCGCAGACTCAGTTAGCCGACCATACGCCTTAGTCCAAAAGCAATGACACAGCCCAGGATCAAAAGGTATATGACAAGAACGAGATGCGAAGTCGCGCGTGTTTCCACACCAGCAGACTCAAGTTGAACCTGAACCTGGCGCCTTAGACCGCTCGGCCGTCTTGCCATGATGAGAATTGCGAAAGCGGATTGGGACCCGCTGCGGAGTGAGGGTCGGCCGGAGGGTCTCAAGACATCGCGACGGAGTAGACTCCGCAACCCACGAGGCAATAGGCGACTGGAACGTGAGAAAAGAATGCTAAACTTGCTGCGTTGCTAATAGGTATCTCGGTGAAAATCAAAACCAGTTACAATAGTGGTATCATCGAATCCTCGGCTGCTGCGTCAATGCCCATTCCTGTACGTTCATCCGTTTGTCTCCCACTAGATTAAGCCTTTCGTTTCTTCCACGTCGAACTCATACGCAACTTCTCCGCCGAGGGCTTTTGTGTTGACCAGGCTGTTTAGGCAGTCTTCTTGCCGGTAGCGACCTGTCGACCTTGGGAGGTATACCGAACGTATGCGTAGCCGCCGGCCGCGATGACACCGATGATGACGAAGTTGCCTGTTGAGAAGGGGAATTAGCCACAGGACAACTGATACCTATGTGGCTAGCGTGGGACTTACTCAAGACGAACTTGCCGAGTCCTCCAACAACATCGATGGCGCCCTGGAATACATCGGTAATTAGGTTGACAAGACTGGTGAAGAAGCCGATAATTGTGTTGAAGATGGTCTGCAAGACGTGGTAGAAGGCGTTGAAGATGGAGGAGAGCAGCTCGTAGATGCTGCTGAAGAGATCCTGGATCGCATTGGAGACGGCCATGTTGACGTTGTGTGTTGTAGCTTTGATCTTTGGTGTGGTTGAGCGGTTTGTGGATAAACTTGGGAGCTCTGGGTGTGTCGGGGAAAGGTGATTAAATGAAAGCTTCAGATTTAGCTCCAACAGCTCAAAGGGCCCATGGAGATCTGGCCGCACCGTTGACTTTAAAGAAAGAGCCCACGCGGACGAAAAACAACGTCCTTGTGACGCGATGGGCGCTGCCGCCTGAGACTTGCCTAACCCCAACCGAACCAAAGCGGCGGGTTGGGGGGAGGCAGGAGCCGACGCCAGTGACCGCCGTATGTGGTGAGAATTGTCGTCCGTGACGTCGGCATCGTGACGTCACCAGCCACACAGGCAATCACACAACCTCGTTCCAGCCACTCCTGTCGCATTTCGAGGAAGGCGCCAGGTTGCAAGGAACCTTCCAATCATACCGCTGGTAATTGCGGCAGGAGCAGATACGTATACCCAAACCACCACAGGAAGGAGGACAGAGCGGAGTGGTTCGTCCGGGCGGGAAGGAAGGGACATTGTCTCTCGCTTGTGGCTGCCGTCATCACGCATTCAAGCCACCTTTGACCCCGTGCCCCTGTGCTTCTTAGCCCTCCCGTTAGGAAAGGGAGGAGGTATTTGTCCGGCCAGGAGCCCTGGGCACCTCCAGTCAACCACCTCACTCCAAGTCTCTCTCATATCTTGTACATTGTCTTTGACTGTACGGATAAATGATGCGATATGGTACCTTGCATCCAACTCCTACTTAGATGTACCGCCTCCAACTCCTGCCACCATTCTCTACCTGGGCGTGCGGGGATATTAAGTGCACTTGGAAGTAGTTCCTTGGCACCTAATATCAGATGCTCGTTTTCACAATTCTTTGAGCGTTTTCATAAAATTTTCATAAACTCATGAGCTCTCTATGCTATCTCTAGGCCTCTTTAGCAACGAAGGAGTGGGCGAAGCCAATCCAAGACGTTCTATCGCTCTGCATCAACCAAAGTCCAAGAGTTTATGAGGCATATAGAGGACCAGCCGTAGTATCAAGGTCTAGGCAACAAATTCCAAAAAGTCGTACGCTGGATATTTGTCTATGTGAGGTATGATCTCATCAATCCTTTGTACATGAACCCCATCACCGTCTTCTCCTATCACAAATGACATAAGAAAATATCTATCAAAATTTCAAACCCATACTCCAAGCCTTAGAAAAACGCCTCAGTTGGCAGCGCAGTTATGGGGGTTGCCAGTGCCGTCAGCCTTCTCCTTGGCTCCAATCCCGCAGAACTTGAGATCCTTGGTGTAGTAAACACGCATGGGACCAGGTCGGTTGGTGGTCCCCTTCTTGGCATTAAAGTCGTAGCGCTTGCCGTCCGCCAGAACAGGGAGCTCGTAGACGGTGCCGGCGCATCCCGAAGCAAAGGTCATCACGTTGCCTCTGTTATCAAACGTCTTGGGGTAACCGCTGGAGCCCGCGGTGGTCTTGGCCTCGCGCAAGTATCCGATGGAAGTATCGTATTTGACTGTTCCGTACAAAGCGCCATTATTCGTGGCTCCTGCCTTGCAGGTGTAGGACTAATGAGGGGTGTTAGTTTTGAGGCAGTTTGAAGGTGGCAGGCAGGAGGGCTATGAAGTACCTGGCCGGACTGGCGAGTCTCGATGGTGCCGTCCTCGCCCAATAGAGGGGTCGGGCTGGCAATGCTGACAGTGGCAGCAAGAAGGGTGAGGATGTAAGTGTAGGAAACCATCTTGACAAGTTGGTGTTGCTGGCTGAAAGTGATTTTCGAAATGAGTGAGAAAAAGTTGAATGTTTGTCAAACTGTAAAGGAGTGTAAGAGGCGTTGGAGGACCGTTGGATGATGAGTTAAATTCTCACATCTTGTCGGCGCAAGTGGAAGCTATTTATCTCATGAAGTCGTTCACTTCCTGTTTCTACTCTCCTAGGCCCCCAAGATGTCTCGAGGGAACATGTCAGCAATGTTCCCGGTCCAACCGAGTGAACGTGGTCTATGCTCAGACTGCGTTGCGAGTCAGTGATGTAGCAATGTACGGCCGCCAATATAATCTGCTTATATCACAGAGACCTAATTATATCCGACCCCAACTTTGGCTAGAGTCGGGACAGAATAAGATGAGCTTCAAAGTCTAATGTAAAACATATGCCTCACCGCAACATAGCCATTACTTGATATAACCAACATACTTTGAGAACCGCTTTCGCAACTAAGTATGGCTCTTCGCATCTCTTGTTGCCAGACATACCACTACTCCACAACTACTTGGTAGAATGTTCTCAACTTGTCACAATAGATCTAGATGATGGAGGTACTTCGCTACTTGCGTGCATCTGGAGCAGGCATTGCTAGATGTCGGCTTGTAAAAGGGGCGCAAGTTCTTTGCAACCTCGAAGAAGCGAAGGATCCGAATGCAGCAACGAGCAATATCAATGCGGACATATGAAGTTCCTGCCTGTGTGACTTACACAGCTCAGCAATAACCATATGAATGAGTAACAACAAGGGTATTTGGAGAAGTTGCCGAATGACTCTGCCAACTTAGTTCCCACCTTACGCACTACATCGGATAGATGTGCCGAACAAGTCTGTGGTCGACTTCGCGGGCCAACATCAGTTCATACGTACAAGACTTTGACATCGCCGATCATGTCACTGTATTTTCGCCGAGTAGTCGGGACCTTGTCATGTTCCCCGCCGAATGTCACCTAGCGAAGACCGTCCCCTCCATAACCAGCGTGGGTGGTGCTTTCCCCAAGTCTAGAACCTGAACAACAAACAGCGTTTCTGTTAGCCAAGCCTGCCAAGGTACCCAATCACCATCTCATCGGCCGAGCATGATAGCGTCCCAGGGTTCGCTTGACATCCGGAACGAGCGAGAGTCTAAGTATCAACATTGACTCTGGGCAGTTTACCAAGAGCATGTCAAATAACTCAAACTTCGCTTTCAGCTTGGTAGCATACCTCAGATAGAATACGGTCCCGGGGTAGTTGCAGATCATGAGTTCTAAAAAGGCATAAAAGTCGAACGACCTTATTCTTCTGCCTAGACCTCACTACTTCAGACGATTCGAACATCACGCTTGGCACGGGACCGGGCTTTGCGGCATTGCCATTACCCCTTTTATCGATGGCTAGGTTCATAGGGCGAGCACGTATAGCTACCTCTTCAACATACCCCAAACACCAACACATTTAGACTTTTCTAAACTTTGGTTGCCTACCAGAAACGAACTCTCGGCGTCTGAAGTTCAGGGTGCACCGGCGCCCGGCACGGGGTGACGGCATCGCGCCGTTGGAAAAGGAGGGGTCCCCCTTTTAGGGCTGTGCTGTGCCACACTCCCGCCCAGACGTGCGCCGACGGAGACGCCGGGCCCCGAAACACGGTCGCTACCCTCCCTGGCACGCACTGCGGCCTCCCTAGGGCCTTGGGGGGCCTGGAGACTTTCCCTTTCCAGAAAACGGGCTTTTTATTTATGAGCTAGGGGTGAACTTTAATGGATGATTCTCGCCGTATGACAGCAGCTTTACTTGAAGCACCAAAAGTCGATCATCGACGATTGACACATTTTCACGCAGTGATTTAACGATATCTTGAAGCAAGACTCTTCAGCTACAGCTACACTTGCCACAAATACTCAAAGAACAATCAATCAAAGTCATCTCACAACCAACAATGTCATCGGTGTATCTCCAACTAGAAGACCCTGGTGCGCCTCCATTCGCCGCCAAAGTGGTCGAGATACTCAATTCTGCTTTCGACCCAACGAACAGCATCTCAGTAGAAGAAGCTGCCGTGGCACTAGACTCACTCTTCACATCAGATTACGAGGAACATGGCACAGCAGGATCTTTCCTCTGGTGGTTCTGGGACCTCATGCACGACCTAGCTCGCCAGATCCCCTACGACCAGCGCGAACAAGATCAGCTGGCGGCAGTTATCAAGGCGCTTACCTGTCTCCCGCCCAAGACGGTGAGTTTGGGCGAAGACTGGGGAGGTGCAGGCGAGAACTCGGTCGATTTGTGGCAGAATCTTCCCATGTTTGCGAACACCTTGAACGAGACGCTCAGTGACGGTAAGACCATACCCCCGCTTCGAGTCTTACAACTACCTTTGAACATTTCATCTTCAAAAATCATTCGCTGATATGATACCTCATGACAGGCGATCCCAGGGCTCATAGTGAAGATACGAGGAAAGACCGCCAGGTGAACCTCCAAGCATACGCAGCCCGAGTCGCAGGCCTAGGCCTCGTCTCCCTAGAAACCAACGCCGTCTGGGCGCTCGTAGATGCACTCGAAGGCACTGTCACGCCAGTTCGCGGCGCTCCGGACGAGGTCAACTCAGACCCAGCCGCAGTCGAGTATATCACACACAAGACACGTATCGCCGCAGCTTGGATGGCCCACGCCGGCCACCTCTTACACGGGCGCGATGAGGTGGTAAGTGGGGCAACGGCAGGGCCTCTGTGGAAGCTCGACAAGATGGAAGCTATGAAGTTGAGACGAAAGGTCAAGGGGACTGATGGGCTTTGTCCTGAACGGTGGCAGCTGTGGAAGGAAAGGTTTGGGGTTCTTCGTGATGCCGTCGGGCTGGATGAAAAGGCGCGTAAGGACGCTGGTGATGCTTACCTGGAAATGGAAAAAATTGAGAAAAGGCAATAGATTTTAGTTGAAACCTTTCCCCATTTAACGAGCACACTCCCCCATACGGGCTTTTCACCGTTACTCGCCACCTTTCAAGGGAGACAGCTGTTTGCTTGTTGACGTCTCGTTAAGTGGCGTTCTTCATTTCATCTCCAGAATCCATTGATGGCTCGTAAAGGCCTTTCAGGCTTTAGTTCTTACACACCCAAACATAACCTGTCTGATAAGCCAGTCCTCTTTCCTTGATCCTCCAACGTCCTGGCCCCCAGGGCTTTCCCGATCCTTCGGATCACTTCCGGTTTAACCGCCTTCCCAATCCCGACTTAGCTCTGTTTACAGCTTACGGCCAAGACTTCATGGATCCTTTCTTTGATCCCATCTTTCTTCAAAACGAGTTCAAGGAATCAAACATTGTCTTGGGTCCTTCTGGTTTCGTCTTGGTGGAGGATTGGAGGACGAGGAACGGGAGTAGCGGTGTCGAAAGGACTCGACGGTGGCGAGCTATTTCTCGATTACACGTGGTGACTTCTATTGTCTTGATGTGGATGTAAAATTCAACGGCCATGACCTATCCAGAATATCCATCATGGTATATAACTCGCCCTGCAGTCCACCTAGATTGTTCGGTCTCTCAACATTAAGCACCCTAACATCGATTTTTCACTGCGTCCATCTATTCGAAGACAATCGCAAACATCAGATAAGATGAGGACCATCTTCATCGTCTCCGCATTTCTAGCCGCCATCTCCAGCGTCAACGCTGTTGCCGCGGGTCAGAACCAGCTTGCCGTAAGAGCACTCGTAAGCCCGCACTCACCCCCAGTGGACGATCCAACGGGACGAATGCTGATGACTTGTACAGAGTGAGGCTCGCTGCCATTGCGACGGCACCTGCTGCAATGGCTATTGGTGCACTGATACTGATGTCGGAACTTGCTGTAACGATGTGCCTTGTTGAGCTTCCTCGGGTGCAGAGGCCTGTGGAAGAAGGGGACGTAAGTCGTAGGATGGGTCCAGAATGGCTTTGACGTGGTCCTTTCAGCAAAATGTCTTAGCCTACATGTAGTACATGGCCATCAGAAATCTTACAATGTTCTCCTGTCTTTACCTAAGACGTAGCAGTCGGCGAATGACCAGATCTTCCCAGTACTTACAGTGACAAGATTCTCAACAAATCATGCAATGTTCCATCCCACAGTCTACCTTAGAGTTCACAAGGCATCAAATCCACCATAAATCTCTACTAAAATCTATGTATGGGAACTCCCGTTTTCTGGAAGCCCAACGCTCCTCCCATTATAACCCAATTTCCACCTCCCAGTCTCCCAAATATCCCAATCACCCTTCCTCCCAGCATCCATATTCAACTTCAACGTCCTCACCCTCCAAAAATACGCCCCCGGCGGAATTTACTTCCTACAGGTATCCTCCTCCGACCCATCCCAAACCCACCAAGTCGACGGCGTAGCCAAGATATCCTCGCCCGTGTCGGCGCTAACCAGATCGTAGATATACTCCCGGCTCACAGTGACAAAGACCTTACAGAAGCCGGGAAAGCCGAGGTCGCCGATGACATGCCACTCTGGCTTGGGGATGGTCCCGTTGAAGAGGCATGTGAAGAGTGTGTCAGGAAGAACTTCAATGTCGAGGTTTGTGGAGGGCTCTACTTTGACGAGGTGTGATGCGTTGAGATTGATCATTGGAATGTCGAATAGGGCGGTACCGAAGCCGGTGTAGGTCACCGTGAGGGTGTTTGCTTTGGACGCGGAGGAGACGATCTCGATGAAGCCTTCGAAGTAGCCCCCCCATACATCTCCGACAGAGCCGGGTTGGAATGAACAGATACTGAGATGATCGTAGATCCACCTGGAGCAAGCTCCACATCTCCCGGCGAGACATCCAACTCCGCATACACCGGATATCCTGCCCGCCACGCCTAAGGCACCGAACCTCCTTTCCTCGCTCTCGGTAGCAATGATTCCCAAAACATGTGTCCCATGCAGAAAGTCTCTACAGTTGTCACCAGTAAGGTCGAAGGCGTCCTCGGCGTATTTAGAGTTATACCCGCGTTTTGGAGAGACCAGGAACCGCGAGATCGAAGCCCGTGCCGATAATCGCGATGCGGATGCCGGTTCCTAGCCTGGATTCTATGTGGAGGCGGGACACGCCTGTATTATGATGTGTTGGGAGGGTAAATGATTCGTAGTATTCGGGGGTGGAATTTGCAGTGGTGCTAGTGAAAATGTCGTTTCGCTACTTATAGAAGGTCTCGTGACGAAGCTCTTTCCTGTCTAAGTAGGGGACGTTGCTGTCTGTGGTGCGGTACTCTAGGACTCCCGGAGGCGAGAGAAGCCTTCTCGACAAATTCCAAGGATTGAATTATAGGCAGTAATTCGCTTCTGACAACTTCGTCGCCTCCCTCGCAGGACAAACTGAACGATAGGCCGCGAGAGGATGGGGACTTGAAAGCGTGACGACGAGTGAATATGCAAAGATAGTCGAAAAAGCGTTGTTCTATGGTGTTGAAAACATTGTCTGGATTCTAGAAGGGCAGGTGAGTCTCTTGGGACAACGGAACTTGGTGTATCTTTGATTGAACCATACCTGCTGTGTGTCTTCTGTGAAATCTACCAGAATGATATTTGGCACTTCATTGGTGATAGTATTTTTCTCCATGGTGGCAAGGGCAAAGACCACCGCAAGGTGGAGCAAGGCAAGTAGGAATCTCATATCTAGAACGAACAACTGAGATGAACTTGGAAATAGCAAAGCCCCACCTGGACATATCAGTTCTCCGAGTTATCCTAGAGCTTCTTTTGTAGTTCGTCCGATGTACCTTATGCCAAGCGGCAGATGATGTTACGCGATGCCCCACGCGTCCCGCGGACGCTATGTAGAATCCCCTGACTGCCGAGAAAGCCATCCAAACGCTATGATGGAGGTTAACTGAAAACAATATGGATCGACCACCGGTGAGAAATGAGATTTCGAAAATTCGGACTGTTAAAGACTCCGTCTTAGTAGATAGGAAGGCGGGAATCTAGTGGAACGATTTGTACGTGGCAAACGTCAACTCGAGAAATGATCCAATCCCAGAACTTCGATGCAGACATGAAATTGAAATGTCAGGATGATTTTTGTGCCAAGCTTCGACGTTGGCAAGCTACGCTGTATGCGATGGTAAACAGAAAAGTGATCTAATGGAGAAATCCAACGCTTGCTCTATCGATTCTTTGTGCAGCAACAACTCTGATACCTTATGTATCGTAGCCCTGCGACTGGACCAGTCTTAAAAAGAGTCTGCAATGGCAGACACTATGTCATCTCTCTTGCAATCCTATTGATCAGTCCGACTCGGCTGAAGCCTCTGGCTGGACCCGCTCCTCCGACAGCTTCGGGTTCCTCAACGCGAAAGCAAAGCCAACCATGGGCACGCAGATACACAGTCCAGCGATGCACAAGAGTCTCTGTACACCACGATAGCTGTCAATGATTGCGTCTCGGATTTCTCCTCCGACGGGGTAGTCCTCGATGGTCGAGAACGGCGAGTTATAGATCAGCGCCGGCAGCGTCTTATTCGGCTGGAACGCAAGGCTGGACTCCAGAGACGGGTAGAGAAGCTGAGTCCACATAGCCCCCGATAGACAGTTTCCGAGGGCGCTGCCGACGTTGAAGATGGCCAGGTAAAGACTCGTAACGACGGCAACATGCTCTCGATCCGACGACGCTTGGATCGAGGCCTGCGTCGGGTACGCGAATAGGCCGCCCGCCAGGCCCATGATGATTTGGCCAGCAATAAGACCAGACTGTGAGGCAGAAGAAGCTCCTCCGGGGTATAATATGAGAAGGCCAAAGGAGGCCGTGAAAATGCAAGCGCCAGTAATGATGATCCCCTTGAGACGTCGGATCCTGTAAATGACAACGCCCATCAAGACACCGCTGAAAACGCCAAAGAAGGAGAAGAATGACAAGATGCGGGTCGCCGTCTCGATAGGGAAGTCGAAGGCCACGACGAGCACGGTGTATAAGTAGTTGCCTTGCGTCGACCAAGCAAAGTTGAGAAGGCTGCGGACTGCCAGAGCCGACCAGACACCACGATCTTTGAGGAGGCGAAAGGGGATGAGTGGGACCTGAGCGTAGCGGCGCTCCCAGAAGACGAAAGCCGGAATGCAAAGCAGCCCAAAGGCGAGCGGAATAATGATTCCAGGGGTCTTCCAGTGGCTCACGGTTCCTCCCGCCAGTGTCAAAGGCGCCAGTGTGAAGGAGAAGGCGGCAATGAGGATAGCGAGGCCGACAGCATCGAGTTGATGGAAGAGGTCGACAGTTGCCTTCTTCGACTCGGCATGACGATCAGCCTTTCGCGAACGCTGACCAAAGGTGTAGAGGCTAGTGAGGAGAGGGATGGAGCAGATGGGGAGGATGATGGCCCACATTCCGATGCCCCAGCGCCATGATGTGACTCGCAAGACGGCCGAGGTGACGTTGCCGCTGATCCAGGTGTTGAACACGAAGGGGATGGCGGGGATGTAACTGAAGAACACGCGAGATCGCATCGACGAGAAGTCTGCGACTAGAACCTCGAGAAGGAGGACGATGCACGTCCAGCCAATCTGATATAGAACGGCGCCGAGGCAGAAGACTTCCACCGAGGACGCACTGGCCTCGAGGGCGGTCCCGACGACATAGAAGAGAATAGAGGCGGCGATGGTCTCGAAGCGGCCGTAAATATCGGCAACCTTTGCCGCAGTTGGCTGCGAGGCCACGGCGATAACACTCCGCAGGACGTTGATGGTCGAGTGGGATGAGTGTAGGTTGAGGCTTGACGTGGCGTAGGGCTGGTAGGTTCCCCGCACCTGGCTGTCGAGGCCGTAGGCGTAGCCGACCAGGAAGATCCCGACAAAGAGCCAGACGCGCTCGGCACTGCTGATCTGGTTCGCGACGGTATCGGAGTGCGCGACGCCGCCCGAGGGCGTATCATGAGGGTGGAGGGTTGCGTCGGCTTGGCTCGGTGCTCCGACGGTGAGGTCGGATTCGAGGAGCGGCGAGGTCTCGCCGCCCGGGGAAGGGCGGCGCTTCGACCATAGTTTCGACATTTTCTATCTCCTCTTGTTCTCCCTTGCGTTGTTCGATTTTTGGCGAAAACCTTATGTCTCGGTACTTATGGAACGCGCGCCGCGGTCGGTAAGGGACCAGAGGTCTGGGCAACCTTTTTTCGTGATGTCTCGTTCAGCACACCTAATTCAACGAACGATGAGAGCAGACGTCCGTAGCATTCGCAGTCATCGGCGGGAATAGGAGGAAAAGATTCTTCTCGGCTGTGTATCCGTATCGAGCGCCTGCTCAGGGGGGGGTCAGTCAGCAGGGGTTGTTTGCGTATTGTAGTACGGAGGTGAATTGGCAAAGATAGGTGTTACTTGGGTTCTTCGTACCTTTGCGAACTCAGATATTCCGAGATGGATGGGCAAACTGACCGCAGAGGTCCATGAGAAATGATGCAGAAGCGACGTTTAGCAGCAGCCCTACCCAGCGGCCATGATGTGGAAGATAGGCAGGCAAACAGGAAGGATTTCAGTCAACCACCCACAGCTGGCAATCCCGGCCTCATGATCAGGGGACCAACGAATGCTCTGTCAGCAGGTCATGCAGGCGTGGCAGCCGCGGGTGGGCAGCATGGCAGGCAGGCGAAGACCGGAGCCTGAGGTGGAAGGGACGGAAGGAATTAGTGACAAAGTGACAACACACAAAGTCCCTCCTTCCTTCTTTCCAGGTTTTAGGTACCTTTTGGTGCCTTCCTGAGGTGACCGATCAGATTAGATCATCTGATAAAGAAGGCGCCCCACCAGCACCGTGGCCAATCACGCAATTCGGGATGGTCCGTCGCCCGCCGTAAGCGCCGATTTAATCCGCGGCCTTCTGCATTCTTGGGACACAACATAAAGTGGCGTAAAGTCAAAGTCGAAGAGCTTATATTGTCTCTATAAAGATTGATACTTGATAACGCCTTTTTTGTGGTATTGCGAACAGTTGCCCATATCTTTGAAGCAGGGTAATGGGTATCACTCTCTGCTGAGACTCACTGGTCATTCGTCATAATGCCCCGCTAAAATGTCAGCTCGGCCAGAACTTCGGATTTTCGGCACATGACTCCTTAGCCCGACCACCTCGCCGAAGCTAGAGTATTACATGTCATCCGGTGTACATGGCGCTCCAAGAAGGATGATGATACTGCACGTGAAAGAGATGTTCATTCTGCAAAGACGATGAAGGCAGGACTTATCGAGCTTCAGCTGAACACAGACACGAATCCAACTTTAAGTGTTCCCTTCTCCAGATGCCCACAACGGGCGGGAAGCAAGCATTAGGGGTCTTCGGATGGCACCGACACATCTGCGCGCCCACTGCTGATTGGCGCTTTGACTCCGCCGTTGCGCTAACTGGAGTTTGTCCCAAGCCCCGAAGCCCCAAAGCCCACAACTGCAACGACGCTATTACGCACGATGAGATCCTTTGAACTGTGTTTTGCGCGTGGGTAGGAGCCTGATCCGGCAGAAGAGACAGTTGTAGTCCGGTGCTCACTGTTCAGTTGCAGTTATTGAGGCGAAGACGTATTATTCATCTTATCTACCAGATCGATTTGAGATACTCCACGCCGCGATGCAGCAGGGTCATTCATTGGCTTCTGGAAGCAGGTTCCAGTATAAGGTAATGCACTGTATCCTACCAATCATCTGCATCGCCAAGATAATCTCCCCATCGTCTCTGCGCCAAGTCGCCTGATGAGAAGGGAGCACGGCAGACCTGATGCAATGCGAAAGCCAGCAGCGCTTCATCTCTAAAATCTGGTAGTTAGTTAGTTAAGGTATGCTTGGTTCTCAACTGCACTCTGTACTGCAACCTTGACTGCACCCCAGAACTATGTGTATCGTCTGGGCGACCTTGGGACGACAGAATCACCAGCGCAGTTCGAGGAACTCTTATGAGCAATTGAAACACCTAGAACTTCTTTTGTCTTATTTTAATCAAGCTGCATCTCTACAGTAGCTAGCTATCTACGTTCCCCCTTTATGCCGCGCCACCGCGACCACCGACACCAAACTGTGCCTGAGCCTCCGCGACTCCCGCTGGAATCGGCGGCAGCTCACGTCCACGACCCGTAGGCAACGGCATGAACTTGGTCTCGGCCAGGAAACGCAGGTATCTTCCAATATCCTCGCGGGTGATACCCTCACCCGCACTGTCATCAACACCAGTCCAGCGCTCGGCATCGGCCTTGAGCACGGCAACAGCATTCCTGTCGTCGAGCTCGGGAGCGCGTGTCGTGGACGGCAGGTCAGACGTAGCCATGTGGAACAGCGGCATCAGCGCGCTCTGCTCCTGATCCTTTTCGACGGCGCCGGCAGACACAAACTCCTCCAGCTGCGTCTTCCACTCCTCGTAGTCGACCTCGGGGACGTCGTAGCCGTAGTAGCTTAGAGTCGAGAGGAACTCATTCATACGGAGGCGCGGGTGCGCCGTCACGTGCACGACGTTGACGCCGGGAAGGGGGTTGAGTGCCGCGGCGATGACGACATGGGCGACGTGGTCTACGGGGACGGCGTTGACCGAGTTGACGATGCGCGGGCGGGCCTTGAGCTGGACACAGCCCTTGCACAGTCTGATGAGGAAGTCATCCGTGTTGGAGACACCGCCGTGGCGGCTGCCGAGGATGTATCCGGGGCGGATGACGGCGCCGCGCAGGCCGCGCTTACCAGCTTCGCGAACGAGCTGTTCCGAGACCTGCCAGACGGTTAGCTTGATGCGAAAGATTGTGTCATGTCAGGTGAACATACCCATTTGGTCTGGCCATAACCAGTACCAAGGCCAAGACGGCTGCCTTGCAAGTCGTCTTCCTCGAGGACGGCTCCACGACCGGTGGCTGTCTCCTTGTCAGAAAGGTTGACGTAGTGTTCGGTGTCCAGCGTCGAGGTCGAAGACACAAAGGACAAAATCTTGGGCTTGCCCTCATTGCAAAGCTTCATCGCATCAATGGTAGACAAGACGTTGCTGCGCATCATCTGCTCGTAGCGCGCAATCCAATGCACGTACGCCGCATTGTGGACAATCACGTCTGCAGTCTCGGCAACTTGCTTCCAGCTAGCGTCGTCCAGACCGAGACGGGGCTTGGACAGGTCACCAAGGACACAGTCGATCCTGTTGGCCCATGAATCCTGCCACAAGGCGTAGCCCTTCAGTGATCTCGTGAGGCGCTCCTTGGCCGCAGAAGTGTCCTTGACTCCACGAATATGCACAAGGAGCTTAGTGTTCTGTCTGCTAAGGATGTCCTGAACGAGGTACGCGCCCAAGAAACCGGTGGCACCAGTGAGGAAGAACGTCGCACCTGCCGACGGGCTCAATGCCTCAGGGTCGGCGCTCTGGTACTTGGTGTCGAGCGTGTTGGTCAGCTCATCGAGTGACTTGGCATACACCGCATCCGCGGCCTTGTCTACTGTGGGTTCCTGGCCACTCTTGAGGCGGTCGATCTGAGAGCTCAACGCGCTGAGCGTGGGGTTGGCGTAGAGGACGCCAATGGTGATGTCTACGCCCAAGTTCTTGCGAATGTTGAGGAGAAGCTGTTGAGCCAGAAGACTGTGCCCACCGCAATCGAAGAAGTCCGACTCAGACCTGAATAGGTTAGCTTTGCCAGTTCCGCCAGATACTCTCCTGTTGTATCTACTCACTTGATCGTCTTCTCGTTCAGTCCCTTGATGAGGGTTGCCCACTGCGAGGCAACGGTCTTTTCCGTCTCAGAGAGAGCTTCCCAGCTCTTGAGGTCCTCTTCTGAGGCATCCTCCATCATCTCAGTAGTATCGGGGAAAGGCAGAGCTGGGGTATCCACCTTGCCATTGGGGTTGAGAGGGAGCTTCTGCAACACGATGTACGTGGACGGCACAGCGTAGACCGGCAGACGAGCCTTGAGGTGGTCTCGCACCTCGGCCTGAATTCTGCGGAATCTCTTGAGATAGACCACGCTGGATCCCATCTCAACACCCTCGTCTTCGACATCCTCCTGGTTCTGAGCCTCCAGCCAGCGCTTCCATTCCGCGATCTCAGGAACGATGTAGCTGACAAGATTCGGCTCCTCGTTACGATCTCTGCGAACAAGAGTCTTGCAGTCTCTAATCAGCGGGCTTCCGCCCAAGTTGGCATCGATCTCGTTCAATTCGATACGGAACCCACGGATCTTGACCTGAGAGTCGATGCGGCCAGACACCTGCACAGCTCCAGAGGGGAGGTACTGGCCAAGGTCTCCTGTGCGGTACAATCTGTCGCGAGGACCCTTGTAGTATTGCCGCCATGATTCACCCTTTGCATGGGCCTTGTCGGCTTCCACCCACTTGGCGTTGTCGACGAACCAGTTCTCAATGAACTTCTCCTTGTTCTTCTCTGGCTCGCCGAGGTAACCCTCAGCCAAGCCGGCTGCTCTGATGTACAGCTCGCCGACCTCGCCCACGCCGCACATCTTGTTGTGGTCTTCGCGAGAAACAACTAGGACTTGGACGTTGTGCATTCCCCAACCCGCGGGAACAACATCGCCAAGTGAGTCGAGGGCTGTCGGGTCCGCCTCGGCGGAAGGGATCTCAAAGTAGGATACCGCTCTGCTGGTCTCGGTGGTGCCGTACATGTTGACGATAGCGCATGAGGGACCCAGTTTACGAAGCACCTTGCAGTCGCGAGTGGTAAGGATGTCGCCAACGAAGAAAACGTGCTTCAAGGAAGGGAACTTGGCAGTAGCTCCACCAACCAAAATCTGTCCCATGGCAGGCGTAAGATGAGTTACGGTCGGTGACCAGGTGTTCATCCACTCACTCAGCTTCTCGTGCTGGATATCTTCCTTGGCAGGAATGAGAAGCTGAGCGCCGAGGAACAGAGGGGTCATGATATCTAGCCCACTGAGTCAGCATGAATGTCATAATCTGGGGTGAAGGTGCCTTGTTACCTCGCTGAATGGGGTCATGGGCAATACCAGACAGACAGGCGAAGACACTCTCGGATGAGAGATGGAAACGCTCTGCCATCCAGGGGAAGTATCTCGTCAAGCCGTAATGACGTCCCAGCACAGCCTTGGGCTTTCCTTCGCTGCCGGATGTATAACTGAGGGTGGGGTTGGAGTCGGGGCCGACGATAACATCGGGAAGAGACGAGGCCTTGGCTCGTACGCTGGCGAACAGATCCTCGGTGTCCTGCTCGCCACTAGACAGCACGCC